AACCTTATCTGCAGTTAAAGGGATTATATTGCTGTTAACATCATCAATTAACATCTTCAGTTCTGTCTCATGTCTTTTTGTTCATGCCACTGCCTCATTCATGCCTCCCTGTCATTCACACACATGTATTCTGTCTTGCTTCTGCTGACTTTCACTCATCTTCTCTCCAGAGCACACCTCCACCTCTCCACCTTACCTCTCATGTGGAAAGAGCAGAGGACTTTTAAAGCATTTCTAACAGGAAACTTGTCGTACCTCTTTTTCTGTTTGACTCGTCTCGACCATCTGCTGAAGTTCTTCTCACTGATGAGGAGGTAGCAGCTGCTGCAGGATCTCTGTCTGCAAATACCACAGATTTCCCTCTGATAACACAATAATTGTTGTTGCTGCTGGTTTGACAGCTGGAATATGAATATTTATAAGAATAATGGAAAGTCAATGGAAAGATTTTAGTCAGTAAACTTGGATGAATAAAAGAACTCTTTCTTTCTGAAAGCTGTGTTAAAAGAAAAAAAAAGCTTTTCTTTTTTTAGTCATAATACAGGAAACTGGACTTCAGCAGAGCAACTCACATCAAAACTGTTTGACCACAAAGTCTCAAGTGCTGCATTGCAATCAACACAGGGAAAAAAAAGCCAACTAAAAATATCAGAATGTAAAAATATATTTAAAAAATTACAAATTATTTTCAAATGCTTAAGTAGAAATTGATGCACAAATACAGCCTTTAGTTTAACTTTAAATTAATCCTCAGGTAGTAATGTGAAGGTATTTGTGCAAAAACTGCACTTCCTTGTGCATCTTATGTTTTTAAAGAAGCAGTTCACCCCATCATCAAACTTACATGTTGCAGTGCTGCTTCTACTTAGATTACTGTGATTAAACCACTGATGGAGATATCTGATCCAATATAATGAAACTAACTTTTACTCACCTTTTAAGCCTAAGCAGAGAAAATTGATATGATTTTGAGGTGAACTGTCTTTAACCTTTTAATTAGTGAGCTATGTGAATGTGTGTCTCACCTTCAGATTGCCTCCGGACACGTCGTCTCACTAGTCCAACCAGTACAACCAGCAGCAGCCCAAATATGGAGGAAACAGACACCATCACAGAGAGAGGAGGAGAGGTGGAAGGACCTGGAATTAATGAGAACATGTGAATCTTTGTGATCAGTTTGAGCTTTGGATGTAAAATCTGTAAAATAAACAGAAGCCTCACCTGTGACAGTGATCCAGCTGGATGGAGACTCTCCATGAC